GTCTACCTTTGTTTATATGGCTTATTGTTATTCAGGTCATGACTTTAACGGTCCAGGCTTAGTATTTCAGATGTTGTGCTGCTCGATCTGTTGGGCCCCAGTTTAGTTAGCTAGTATGTTTAGTGGCTAACTCGATCGAATACAGTATCGAGTGTCAGTCGTGCCTCCCCTAGTTTGGGGCGTGACATAAGTAGTCCCAGCAACTACATTGTTCGCTCGTGGAAACTCCTAAACTTTATGTATATGATTTGTACATAGTATTTTTACATAGCTTATACGTATTATTTTCATGGCAGGCTAAGATGAAGCTCCTATATTATCGCATTGTTATTCGAATACAACATACATGATATATTTGTGATATGATCTGACTGTTTACCTTTATTGAAAATGGGGATCTCTACCTTGTTTCAGAATAATGTATGTTGGCATTTTTTCTTGCTTGTCTCCATGAAAAAACGGTTGTGGATAAGCATTATGACCTCAGTGAGCTAGCGACTCACTTTTCACTTTTGCTGTTTTATGGAGTACATATGTCGTCGAGGACCTCCCTATCTAGAGTGAGCGAAGTTGTTAGTACTTGTGAGCCCTGCTTGGGCGAAGAGTCTTTATCATCTATTCTCTTTTCATTTAAACTCTTAAAGTTGCTTCTTTAGTCAGGTTTGTTAGTACTTTGGTTATCATAGGACTTGTAACTATGCATTAGAACTTTCTTGTCGTATTTTGGTGATGGACCTTGTATTATTGTGTTACAAACAAAAGGTTACCAATGGTTGTGACTTGGGTTAATGGGTGCTTGTTGTGGAATGTGATTTAGTTGAGACAAGAAATTTGGATAGTCCTAGATGTAGGAAATTTTGTTCAATTATTTGCAAAATTGCAATTAGGCTTGCTTGGAGACCCTACTCCCTAAGCGCTATCATGGCCTTTAATTGATGCGGATATCCAGTAACAAATGGAGCACACATCTGTAATAGAACCTCAATTGTGGTTATGTAGACAGTCATTCTCATTGCCAAAGTACTCATAGAACTAACTAATGGAGCAATTCACAGAGTTCAAAATAGAGACGATTTATAGATACAAAGATTATGCGCTCCTCACATTTCCTTAGGGTGAATCTCTTCCCCCGGCCATACGTGAAAACGGGATACTTGATGCTTCATGCACCCGGCTTTTATAGATTTTGCTCCTAAATGAACTAGTGCAAGGCTTGTTAGTACCATCACTTCGCTGACTCTACATAGGAGGTCCTTGTCCGTGTTTGTAACTCTTTATGTAAAACAGTAATGGAGAAAGATTGAGTTTCGACAGCTAAGTGAGTAGAATACGCTTATCCATCATCATTTTTAATAAGGACCAATATTCTAAAAATATAGTACACGTCCTTTTATAATAATGGTAAAATGTCGTAAAGCATATCACAAGTATATCATGTATACTGTTTTAAAATAACAATGTGGCAACAAGAATGCATCATTTTAGTCTCTTCATGCACATGAGTATAAGCTTTATAAGATATTATGTCGCAATCAAATATAAATGCTTAGAAGGTTCGCAAGAATGAACCATGTAATCGATGGGGCTCCCCTACCTTGAGAGAGAGCCAAAGTCAAATTATCGCTGGTCTGGGAGGATATTGATAGCGGTGTGCTACTTCTTCCTTTCGTTCTACTGAGTAGTGTAATTGTGATTCGTTGATATAAGGTGCACCGAGTCTAACGAACCTCTCCTCCTGTACTTCTTTTTCATAGTTGTAGTACTAGGGCTATCCCCGTGTTTCCAATTTTTAGGTCGCTATTATTGTCTGATGTTTCCTTTGTTTCAGTTATGTTGTTATTCTGGCCGTAATTACTGTTTTCTTTCCGTAGTTATTTGTTATAACTGCTTTGATTTTACTTTCACTGAGCCGAGGGTCCGCTGGAAACATCATCTCGCCCTTCATAGGTTTGCATACATACTACCCTCTCTAGACCTTACTTGTGGGAAAATACTGGGTATGTTATTGTTGCATTTTTTAAACAATATGGGGCGTTCCCTTTTAAAAAAACAATATAGGCCATTCCACTTATTTTGAAATAGGCTTTAGCAAAATACTTGCAACTGTAAATACACTAACAGTCAATGCAAATCTATTAAGGTAAAACATCTCAAGATAACATTTTGGTATAGAAGATCTGATCAGCATAGTTAATTCAAAATTATGTCAATATCATATGATGTAAAGAACTTGTCAAATTTTACAGTAAGATACTTCATTTATCAAATCCAAATAAATGCAATAAGTTTATAAATCATGTAGTTATAGAAATACATTTTTTGATAAAGTTATTACTCATACTACATGTGGGTGTAGTTCAAGGGTAATATTGTTGAGCAATCTCAATGCTTTCCCCAATCAATTTATGTTTACTATAAATAGGGATATAATTTATCTAAAAAGCTAACACTACCTATTGTTAATTTTTCAGATTAATTATATCCCTATTTATTGTATATCCTAGCCAATTTAAAATACCCAACCCTTCTGGTTTCATGCCTGTCACTTAATTCATCAAATTGAGTTTGCTCATGCCATGGGTTGCTCAAACTCATCAACAAGCTACCAGTTATAACATATTCATATCATATAGCACATGAAGAATTCCATGAATTCTCTTTCATAACTTTTTTTTTTTCAAACTCTTAATCTCATCCCAATTCATCACAGCAATCATAATTTAGTTTACCCATAATATATAGTAGTCAAATACATAGGCCTTGAGTCTAGCAAATTACCTTGAGTTTTTAATGTCAAATCATGATGCTTCTCGTTTTTCTTCTTCTTTCACTATCTATTTCATTGAGTCATGGAAATTAGGATAACCTTGGAAATAAGGAAAACTTTGTTCGATTATCTACAAAATATTAAACTTGCAGTAAGACTTGTTTGGAGGCTCAACCCCCTAAGCGCTACCCTAGATTGGGTCGTGTCAAGTTAAAGAGTTTCTTGCATGCATCGTAGCTTCATTTACTTTTTGTCAGCTGCTATTTAAACTATTCTTAGGGACAACTAGCAATGAAAGTTTATTTGATGCATGTAAAGGCTGGTGGACTTTGTAAAGCAAGACCAGTTGGGAGGGTCGATGAGAGTTAAGGATCGTCAGACATGGGATTGGCGCCATGGAGATCTTTTGAGCTGCTGCTTCCACATCAAATAGCATCCTATGACTGGTAACTAAAGTCTAGATCACATAATCCTTACTGCATGATAAAGAATATTGATGAGTTTGGGATATGACAGAAATTGTTGGACCAGGAAGAAAGATTGTCCTTCCTGGCCAGCCAAACTGAAACCTAATATATCCTTGTTCATTGCCAGAGGGGATATACCAATTCTCTCAGCCTTTTCCAGAATATTTTACTCCATTGATAATCACTACTGGTGCTAAGTTGGTTCTTCTGCAATGTTATGAAGGCTAAAGATTGAATGTTTCATCCATCTATTGAAGATTTGACACTTCTACTTCAAGAAATATTGGTTCTTGCATTGAGAGACCAAAAGAGGCTGTCATCTTAGTCATGCAAATTTAAGAAATGGGAAGACCCAAAAGAGGTTTTCTGGCAGAAGTACTGCTCGTGGTAATGACACCAGGTAGCCATTTTTAAGTATGCTATTTAAAATATATCCACAGTTTACAATGTATTTAAACATTAGCCAATTCACTCAAACTTTTGGATACGGCGTCCTAAAGTTTAAGCCTCAAAGTCCAAACTTCAGGGCATCGTGTTCTAAAATTCAAAAATTGTGTCCAAAAGTTCAAATCTTATGTCTTGAATTTTAAATTAATGGTTCAGAAATTCAGGAAACTTAGTCTTGAATTTTAAATTAATAGTTCAGAAATTCAGGACACTTAGTCCTTCCTAAATTTCAAATTAGCAGCTCAAAAATTTAGTACACTAAGTCCCGAATTTTCAAATTCAGTATACTTAGTCCTGAAGTTTGGATGATTTGGCTAATCTTTAAATATATATAAATTATAAATATATTTTAAACAGCGGACTTAAAAGTGGCTACCGGTGCAGTTAACCGTTACTGCTCTATATGAGAGTTCTATTTTTTTCATCATTGAATGAAATCTTTCTTTCAGTAATAGCAGGCATTGCTGATCTGATGTCTGCAAAGTCCAGTAGAACACTAGAACGTCCTTTTCGCAAACATCTGTGATTATACCTCCATGTGTTTCTTGGGGTGGACTGCATCTAGATAACTAGACCATCATTTTCATCTTTAAATGCTTAAGTTTGTGTGTGTCTTTATGTGTTTTTTTAGTCCTATTCTATACATACAATATGAAATAATAAATCGATTCTCGCATAACTTAGTGTATGTATTATTTAAGATTGCCAATCCATCGCTGCATTATACGAGAAGATTATTTTTCCTAATCCCTCCAGCCAGATATGCAGGCATTGTGTTATCTTGTGTGGAATGTTGTGGTGGAATTTGATTTTCTTAATCCCTCCCACCAAACAACCCCTTAGTTTGTTGATAGTATGAAAAAAGTACTTCAGGTAATAGTTCAGTTCGCGCAACTTTGAGATATGGATTCACTTTGCCCAGCCTCATTCCTATATAATGTGAGACAATTCTCAACGTGCCTGTAGTAAAATCCACCTAGCTGGAGTGCCAAACAATAGAGTAATACTAGCAAACTGATTCGATTTTAGAAGTTTTATATCATGAAATTTAACTCTAATTGAATTGCAAGTTCTATTTTAGTTTAGAACAGGAAAACAATATATTAGGCCCAAAATTTGGTATTGGTTACTAAGTAATATTGGTGTGAAAATAGCACGGGCTAGCCAGTTTTCGGACTGTTAATTGAAAAATAGTCAGCGTTTGCAAAGCCATTGAAAAATAGTCATTATTTTGCTGCAATATGAAAAGTTCCAGCATAATATACTTGAGATTAGTGCACTTGTGTATGAACTTCAGCACACGGAATGTATCAGCATAATATACTGGATATTGGAGCTCTTGTGTATGAACTTCCAGCATATTATGCTGGACCAGTATATTATGTTGGAAGTTCACATGTAAAAAATTCGAACTCTAGTATATTATGCTGGAATATTTTTCAGATTTTGAACGGTGTTCGTTCAGATTTACCTTTACATGAAAAGTTACTAAATTTTGATTACTTTTGAAATTGTGATTATTTTTCAGTTATCACTTATAAATCTGGCTATTTTTTAATTTCACCCTGAGGCTAGGTTTCAATACTTTCAATGTTTTACGGCGTATG